TGTATGAGCTTTGGGTTTGTCCTGCTCTTCTTTTTCTAGAAGCTTGAGGTTCAGCATCAGGTTGTTTAATTGGGCTCATTCTGTTTTCCTAATATGCGTATTCACTACTATGAATTTCCCTCGTAAGACTGCTTTCATTGTGTCCCATAGATTCCTATATGTTGTATTGTCATTGTCATTTAAGTGAAGGAACTGTCTGATGTCTTCTTTAATTTCCTCTGTGACCCATTGGTTATTCAGAAGTGTGTTGTGCAGTTTCCATGTGTTTATGAAATTCTTGCCGTGTCTTTTGCTATTGATTTCCAATTTCATTACACTATGGTCTGATAATATACAGGGGATAACTTCAATTCCTTTGCACTTACTTCAACATGTTCTATGAGGGAATTTGTGGCTTATTTTGGAGAACGACCCATGTGCAGCTGAAAAGAATGTGTAATCTGATTTTTTGGGGTGGAACACTGTGTTGTAAACATCTGTTAAGTTCATTTGTTAAAGAGTTTCATTGAGTTCTAGTATTTTGTTGCTAATGTTTTGTCTAGTTGATCTATTTGTGACAGTGGGTTATTGAGGTTCCCTACTACTGTTGCATTAGTGCTTATTTGATTTTTCATGTCTGTTAGTATTTGTTTTATATAGTTGAGTGCACTAGTGTTTGGTGCATATATGTTTATGATTGTCATCTCTTCCTCTTGGATTGTTCCCTTTACAAAGATGTAGTGTCCTTCTTTTTCTCTCTTAATCAGTGTTGGTCTGAAATCCACTTGATCTGCAAAGAGGATAGCTACCCCTGCTTTTTTTTGGTTTCCTGTCCCATGGAGTATTGTTTTCTACCCTTTAATTTTCAGTCCATGAGTTTCTTTTTGAATTCTGTGTTTTTTGCATGTAGCATATTGTTGGATTTTGCTTCTTGACCTATTCTGCCAGTCTTTTTCTTTTGATTGATGAGTTGAGACCATTAACATTTATGGTATAACTGATATGTATTGACTTATCATTGTCATGACTTTTTCTTTTTATTGGATTCTCCCCCTTTGTGTTTAATTTCTTGTCATGCCTGATGGATTCATTTTGCTGGGCTTCCTGGGGTTGTGATCCTCATTGTCTTTTCCTAGGATAT